GTTGTCGCCGATGTTTGTTAATGTTGAATGGCTTTTCGTTATTCGTTAATCTGTCTATATTGAATTTGACTTTTCTTATAGATTGCTTTAATTTTTTTATTTTATTCTCATTTTTTTTGTTGACTGGCATCTCGAGTGTGTAAATCACCAAAATGATGGACCCAATTCCTCGTTATCTTCCCACCGTGAAAGCTCAATCTGATGGAAAAGGTACAAAACGCGATATTACGGGCTAGCCGAATCACTCAGCCGCCCTTGGACTGGACTCGACCGCGGTGTTATATTGTAAATTATATTGATGCCTCAGCACATCTTGTTTCATTGGCTTGACCTACTTTAACAATTTACAAATATAAATATTCCCACTTATATTATGTATATATTACAGTGACGACTGTCTACAACATACTACAGCACTTTTATTAAGTTTGGCGTTCAGTGGTAACCGAGTTACACGGTCACCACACTCTGACCCTCTTTCTGTCTTCACATACGATTATTCCTAACTAAATTATTTGTAAAATGAATGAATGAAATTTCAATTCATTCAGAATGAACTTCTGTGATAGCTCCGTATTATGCAATAATGTCTACTAAAAAAATTACTGTTGTTTTTCCGTCGGATTTTTTATAAGGTTTTGTCACAACTAAATACTTGTTGCACAATATGTCCCCACCAGAATATATATGCAATCATTGCTACTAGAGGTAATTGGTCCTATGAAGTCGATACTAAATCGTTCAAACGGTCGTCCGGAAATTTTAGGTGAAGTTTGCATATGTCCACTTGTGGGTGTTTAATACGCTTTTCTTTTTTTGACAACTTAAATACGATGGAACATATTTTCGAAGGTCTTAATAAAATGTAGGCCAAAAATATATTTCATTATTCTTTTATACGTTTTATCTATACCTAAATGTCCTGCTAAAAGGTGGTCATGGAAATTATATATAATTTCCTTAATGTGTTTTTTAGAATCGCTATTAAATTTATTATTTGATCGTTGGTTCCGTATTTGTACATTTTATCTTAGTTTAAAAATAATTTTTAGGCTTTCTAATCCAAATATTATCTGAAATTTCTGGATTTTCTATTGCTTGTATAATTTTATTTAACATTGTATCATTATTCCGTTCAATTTGCATATTAATTGTTTGTATAAGAGAAATAGTTAAATCGTTATCCTTTTGTAACTCCTGGTCTAAAGTGTAGTGGTTGAATACGGGATTTCGTGACATTGCGTCACAAGCTTGATTTAATAGACCTTTCCGATATTTTATTATATAATCAATGTCGACTAATTTAGTAAATAAGAGGCACATGGCCAAATTTAAACATGTTGTACATACGTGTAAGTACAAAATTGTTCCATGACGTAAACTATTGGTAAAAGCTCAATGTCTGTATTTTTCTTCAAAGTGGTTAAGGCGTCGTAAAATATACGAAACGGGATGTGAATATTCATCATCCGGACTTTTTTTATAAAATGGTTCCGGAAATTCCTATATTACTAGCATCAGTCTATATGACTATTTTTAAACTAGTGTAACGGGGTTGAGGAACCTGTTATATTTATAGATAATTCAGTGAGGGTTTTCAGAGCTGATATAAATTTGGTATACCTATATATATATTTAGGTAATTTCATAATTTACATGGTGTATTTATATGTGTTATTTACTATATGCTCCAKTCATACAGTATTACACCTTTAACTGGAGAGCATTGTACTTGATCCATCATTACTGTCTGACGTTGACTAGTGATCTGATTTTACATAATATCGTACCGCTCGTTCCGTGTTCGGCATGTAGGTATTCCGGCAGCTTATACAAACAAGTACCTACTATGCATTTAATAGAATTAAATTTTACATAATATACAATTTTTTTCCTCCTTTTTACATATTTCATCCYGTTAATCATTTTTATATTATTACATTACTATTATATCCCCTTACTACAAATACATTTTTCACATATAATATCTTATTTTCTTATAACAAAACATAATTTTTAAACTTACAAGGATATAAATTCAATATTACAATATTTATACCTTAACATATTATATTTGATA